GAAAGCAATTGACATGGTGGTTTCAGTGACGCGAACTCTACCTATGCTATTCACGTCTTTATCTGTGTCCAGAACCCTGATTTGAACGACTCATACTATCAAGCAACATGTCTCTCTCGCCAGACCAACAGCGTCTAAAAGAGCGGTTCGAAACCGAGCTCGGCTCCGCAGCCTACGATGAGTCCTGGGCGCGGATGCTCAAGCACTCACCCGAGATGTTCGCAGCATCGCTCCGCCTAACAACCATACCAAAGCGAAGCAGCCACCTATCCCCCAAAATCCAATCCCTAATCTCCCTCGCCATAAGCGCATCATCAACCCACCTCCATATCCCCAACATCCACCGCTACACCCGCGCCGCCCTCTCCTCAGGCGCCTCCCGCGCCGAAATCGTCGAAACACTATGTCTCACATCCACCCTCGGCATCCACGCCTCCACAGTCGGCATCCCAATCCTCTTCGAAGTCCTCGAGGAGCGCGGCGAAGCCATACCCAAAGGCATGGCGAACATGAGCCCGCAGCAACTCGCACTAAAGCAGGATTTCGAGACGAAGCGCGGGTACTGGAACGCGTTATGGGAAGAAATGCTGCTCATCGCACCTGATTTCTTCGACGCGTATACGGAGTTTAGTTCTGTGCCGTGGACGAATGAGGGGGGCAAGGGCGTGCTTGAACCCAAAGTAAAGGAGCTGATATATTGTGCGTTCGATGCGGCGGCGACGCATATGTACAAACCGGGGTTGAAGCTGCATATGCGGAATGTGTTGAACTATGGGGGTGCGAAGGAGGAGATTATGGAGGTGTTGGAGTTGGCGACGTTGTTGAGTATTAGTACGTTGGATGTGGGGTTGGAGGTTTTGGAGAAGGAGATGGGGGACTGTAACGGCATAGACTGTTAACCTAGCGACGAGCGCGGAGCCTACATTGATGTTGGATCCCCCACTCTGCGTGTTATCCATGTAGTGTTCAGACCTGGTTCAGTCTTTTCATGTATGAGGTGAGCATAAAATTCTAGTGGCATGTGTTACATTTGATCGGCGTATCATGAAGGCTGCTTGGCAGCAGATCTATTGCACTCAAAAAAATCCATTACCGACCACCTCCTCCCCAGGTGGCTTTCCACAGGAATCGCGGTGGCTTTCCGCACAGAAATCGCGGCCTCACCGGCGCGTTGCCCGCAACTTCAAGCGTCGTTATATACAGCGACAGAATCGATCCCATGAGATGATATCCGTTCCGTCTAGCCCAGTAGATCGGATTGCTGCTCCTTAGGAATTCGTATTCGCATTCGAGTCCGCGATTTTCTCGGCAGACATCCCATGCTTCGTGCAGAATGTCGAAAACATGCTGGCTAGGCGCCGTGTGCTCTATGACCAGAGAGAACGTACGCATGCTTTCCTTTAGATTGTTGAAACCCATCGTAGGGTTCTTCTCCCAATAGCCAGGTATCGTGTATTGCCAGCTGTGGCTATTCCCACACGCACGAGTGTAGGATCCGTACCATTCTATCAATTCCAAGGCGTACTCGCTCAGGTTGTACTCTAGTTGCAGACCGGGCTGGGAGATCTTGTCGCTTAGTGTCATCTCGTCTTTGGCCTCGATACGAACTTCCGGAACGCGATGTAGCTGATCGTGGCATTTGCGTACAAGACCCGATAGCGCCAGAAGCTCCGATCGCTCTTCGTCGCAGAGGATTGTAGTAGTGCCTTCTGATGTTGGATCCTGGAGAGCCCTGTTGAGCGTGTCGAAATTTGCGGAGAAAGTAATCGCGAGGATTTCGAGGATGTATCGCTGCAGCTGCTGAACTTGACTATTTGGCTTTTGAGCCTTGGGAGGAGCGCAGTGTCTTATTTCCTTCGGTGGCAAGCCCAGAGGCACGCAATTTTCACCTTGTGATGTATAAGAAGGTAGTGACTTTGAGGCAGTGCCACCAGTTCTTGAATATTTTTTATCCTCTAGTAGACTTTGTTGTTCGGCTGTGTCGTGTAGCTTTGAGAGACGGTAGCGTCCGAACGGTCCAAGATTGATGATCGGCATGGTCGCGGTGTTGGGAAGGTTAGATGGGTTGCAATAAGTTGAAAGAAGTGCGTTTCGTCAAAGCTTGTAGAGTCTTTCTGTATATCGAGCCTGTCCAGGGCAGTATTCGCTACCAAATAACTGTGCATGTGCGTGTGCAACCCTGTAGCGAATGAGAATAACCGAACCTAGAGTCCGGGTCGAATCTCCCACCCAAAATCCTGACTAGTTTTGCAGCCTACAATAACATAAAACCACGCAAAGTGGGTGATTCGACATTGATGTAGCTTCTAGGGTGCTTTTGAGGTCGAACCTCCCACCCAATGTACGGAGAATTCTAACCATGTTTGCAGCCTACAATAACATAAAACCATGCAAAATGAGTGTTTCAACATTGATGTAGACTCTAGGGTGCTCTCGAGGTCGACTCGTACGGGACAGGCCTGACATTAACCTAGCTCCGTCTTTGGATTATTGCTGCTTGATTACAGGTATGAGATGAGCTCTAGGAGTGATGGGTAGCTATTTGGCAATGAATCATCGCAGTATCGTAGGCATAAGCGATAAGTCTGAAGTATGGCTCTGGGGTGCATTATCTAATCTTATTGTCTACTTAATGGTCTGACTGGTGGTCACTTACATAATCCAGTGAGTAGATCAGATTTTGCGGAAGCGTTGCGAGAGTTTTGCGGAAGCGATGGGTTCGTTTTGAGTGGTTGCGACATTACTCGACTGCGAACGACGTCTTGCATGGCAAGAGCGGAAAGCGGTAGCTGTGGTTCAGCCAGATCCGAGGAGTGTCGGCTTGCTAGGTACGATGAGCTTATGAAGGTGATCTGTCTACTAGAGCCGAAGATATAGCGATGAGGTGCGTGCGTATTATCCTCGTGCAGTTGATTTGAGGTGTGAACATTGTGGTGTCATATATTGCTAGGTGGATGTGTTGCGTCATGCACAAGTGTAGAAAATCACAATTCACGGTGAAGACGCGCCAAAACTTCCCGCATCTCCTCCCGCTCCGCCTCCATCTCCCTCTCCGTCTCCCTCATCGCCTCCCTCACCATCGCACCCAGGATGCGACGCTCGAGCGCCCCACCCAACCTCAGCCACAGCCTGTCAGGGCCGAAGCGCCACAGCAAAAAGGCCAGAAACAGGCCAATCATGACGGCGATGCAGTCGCCGAGGAATTTGTTGGCGACTTGATTCCAGTCGAGCCAGGCGAACATTTTCGCGAGATTTTTAGTGTTGCTAGCTACATAGATACATAATAGTTAGTACGCTGAAGCCATATTACAGTTTGGAAACGAAATGTGCACATACCTGTTCCCTTCTTGTGGGTGCTAAGGAACAGGAAGCAGGATTCGGAACGAGATTTGTTACATTGCAGCTACAGCGTGGGCAGGCGCTCCTGCGCTGCTGCTGCCTCATCTCTCGTTTACTCCTTCTCAAAAGTGTGGTGTGCAGTTTCCTCGTTGGCTCCGTTGAGGAACATTTCTACATCGCTCCTGCTTCACTATCTCACTAGAAGATGAAAGCGCACGGTACCTCTGAATGTCAAGATTTACTACAGTGACGCGAGCCTACATGACACTACCTGGGTACTTTTCGACCGTTCTCATGACCCCCAGGCAACTACCAACAGTCTCAAGGCCTACGCCTTCAGAAAAGACATGTTCTTGATCTGCTCCGTGATGTCCTCCAAGCCTTCCATCTTGTCCTGTATGAGCTCAATAGCCTTCTGCGGATCCATCCAGCCGGCGAACTTCTCAGGTACCTGCAACTGCATGTTGCGCACATCCACCAAAAGAGCTTTCACCAATGGCTGGTTGAACAGCTCTTCCGAGAGGTACTCTGGTACCGACTCGTCCACGGAGAGACTACTAAAGCCCATGAAATTGCCCTTCGCGAACTGGTCTTGCGCATGCTCGGTTTGAAGCTCTTTCGCCACAACCTTCTCTTTCTTCTCCTTGTAGATGATGAACTGCATAGCCCAAGCAGATCCATGTTTCTGGTACTCTTCCGCTGGCATCTGCCGGGCTACGCTCCAAAAGTCGTCCGTGGCGTATTTCTGCGGTGGAACGCATTCTTCGAGTGCTTTCACCGCCTCACCCATTCTGCCCCGAGCCTGCTTGCCCCAATGTACCAAATCATACTGGCTTGTGCGCCAGAGCCGAGCGATCCAGTAGTCGCGCCTCTCCTTCCCATCGTACTCGATATGCATCGCCGTTTCCAGCCATGCGCCGACGAACTGTTCGAGGAATACAATGAGTTTCTCCGCGAGAAACTTGCGCGCATTAGGCGTGTTGAGGACTACATGGGCTAGGAGGACGTTGAAACGAATCTCCTTGTGCCAACTTGAGAACGACTGTGTCTCGCTGATCTGCCAATGCCATGTCGCCATGCAGACTTTGATGTCTTGATCGTTCTTTCGCGCGAGGAATTCGGCGGCGGCGAAGTCGTTGTAGTTGGCAAACACGAAGTCGAGCTGCAGGTTTGGAGGGATGGTAGGGACATGTAGGCTTTGCGGGTTCTCGTAGATGTCGCGGAGGGTGGGGAGACGGCCTGAGGGGAACACGCGGCCGGGGATTTTGAGCTTGGATAGCTTGTGTTTGAGGAGGTGACCGGCTTTGGTGTGCAGGTCGAGGAGTTGTTGGTTGGTAAGCGCCATCTTGGGGAAGGGAAGGGAAGATAGGTGTGTAGATTGTAACAAGCAGAGTTGGTAAGGCCGATAGAAATTGATTTTATGATACCGAATCGAGGTGAAGGCGAGCTGCTCGCGCGAAAGAAAAATCGCTGGTGACGCCATTTCTTGATCGAAAGTGAGGGTGAGTCGGCTGCCTAAGTGCAAACGCGCGCGATTCTCGCTCACCTCGACAATATCAACTATCTCAGTGCGCCAGATTTTGACTTCCTCTCTTGAATCTATTCCGATTATCTACTCTTTAACAACACCCCCTGACAACACCTGAATCGATAGGTACATCATGGCGCTTACGAAGGACCAAACTCTCGAACTCCACCGGAAGGCCACCCGACTGCTCGAGATCAAGCTCGCGCGTGTCCCCAGGCGCATCTTCGCATCGGGTAGTCGCCCTACTATCCACGAGTACTACACCAAGGCACCTACCATCTACGTTCCGAGTATACCAGAGCAGTACCAACTGGAGTATCTACTTGCCAACTACAACGCGGTTCTGGCCGCCGATTCCAAAGCCATCAAGACGCCTGGCGTAGACATTGACGCCGCCAAAGCGATCTGGTACTGGCAAATCGACAAGTCGCACTCTTTCAGTCGTTATCACACTGTCGTCCGATATAATATCCTGACCGCTGTCATCGTAGGCGCGTCAAAAAACCCAGGTGCATACTGCCCCGGATCAGCGCAACAATTCATCCACGCCTTCGTTATTGCGTGGAAAGAAGCAGTGTCGCAATCATCTTCTTTCACCGACCGGGAGGCCTTCTTGAAGCTGTGGGCGGAAGGGAATCACGATGTGATGCAATGGCGTTCCTGGCAGCTCGTCGCCATGCGTCGGGCTGTTGCGCAGATGATGGAGAAGGTGCCTGAGCTCCCTTTCCCTGCTAGTGAGTTCTGGGACAAGGTCCAACAGCAGCCTGAAGTCGAGTGGAAGAAGCATGGACATGCGTGGGCGGCGCAATGGGTTAAACATGTGGCGGAGGAGAGCGAGCTTGCGGCCAATCAGAAGGCCGGAGATGCGGAGATGGAGGGTGTGGAGGCCGGTTTGTGTGGATTGGGAATGGGGGAAGCGCCCGGATACCTTTGCGAAGAGCTGTTCGAGCAGCCACATGTGAAGGCTTTGCTCCTGGACATCGAGGAACCTGACCCGGAGCTGCCAAAGGAGAGGTGGGATATGCGAGCTATGTGGTTGGATCCTTCTGCGGCGATTGCCTTCATGAAAGGCGTGAGTAGCACCGCGGTTGATGAGCTGGACACTGCGCTGCAAAATATGTCCTTTATGACCTAAAACCGTTGCGTGGTCGCGTGCCTGTGACATAGCAGCATATGTACAGTAGAGATAAACTTACCTTCTACTCTTCTTCTACGCTGTGACCTTAGAAAAGTAAAAATCTAAACAGGTCTGCCGCCTACATTAACACAAAAATTTGCAAAGTAGATAGCCCAACGTCAATGTAGTCTCTAGACCTACTTAGGCTTTTCTTAGGTTGACGTTCTGTAATGTAGAAAAGGAATTAGCAAAAACAAAATAATGGCGCTGACAACCTACTAACACAGAGTCGTACCCTATAGCGTGCTTTCTGTTGTCAACTGTAGTGAATCGAACCCACGAGCGACCATGGGTATGACTCTTGCAATGCTGATAGCCAGTGTGGGTGAGACAACTGACTAGACTAGCCGGTGATGCGCATTGCTGTCTTCTTCGTTTCAATGAGAAAGGCTTCGGTGATGGGCTTTATATACCTAGAGAATGTCGCGATAGACCTACCACAAGTAAATTTGGGGGTGAGGCGGCGGGCTGCGATTTGGGGTGAAGGACGCACGTCATTGTGGGCGTGGACGGGAGAGTCTGTGCGGAGCTGGTGATTTAGGCGAGAGTGTTGACGGTGGGAGAGATGACGAGGTGCAGGTAAGGAGACGTGAGCGCGGAGATGATGAGTTGCAAATGCATCGATACGGTTTGGAAGGAACAGCGAATGTAGCGTATGATGGAGAGACTGCAAGATAGAGAAGACAGTGGGAGATCACGCAGTAACAAGAGGTGACAAAGTGTCCTAGGTGAGGCACTGGAAGTCGAAGTAAACATGGAGGCGCTGATGACATAGCAAACGAGAACGTCAGAGTGTGGGAGATACGGATAGAGCGGTGAGAGAAACTATAGTATCATGCAAGAGTGAACAGGTGCTTACCGACTACATTAGTATACAAGCCAAAGTTTCGCAAGATCCAAAGGTAATGTAGACTCCTAGGTGGTACGTATTTAGCTTCTTCCTGGTACGAGTTGGTCCAATCCAGATGTCCAGAGTCACGATCAAGACCAGGGTGACGGGCACCTTGAAGTATAGTTTTACATTTCTCTTGCTTCACTTTCTTACTACGAGGGTAAAGCGTGACGCACCTCCCGATTTGGAACTCTAATACAGTGACACGAAGTCAAACCAGAGTCATACACGGCCATCTTCCCACTCATGTACTCGCCTGCTTCAAAGCTTCTAGCTTCTCAACCTGTCTCCTCAGCATAACGAGTGCGCCCAGACTGATCTTCCTAAGTCCATCACGCTCGCCCTCCTCGCTACCTTCGGCGCTTTGCTCGACAACGTCCTTGGCGGCTTCAATAGCTTTGTCGAGGAGTTTTGGCGCGCCGTCTTCTTGGCTGCGGTACAGATATTGTAGCTCCTCTTTAAACGGCGCGACCTCATGTGTAAGTGCGTGATGGATGAAAGCGCGGGCGCGGAAATAAGCGCGTTCGGTATAGAGCGCCGAACTCAGCTTGGTCTCCGGCGCTGAACGGTGAACGTCGTAGCCAGCTTCGTTGTAGTAAGGCTCCTTCACTAGTACGAGTCCCATGATGGAGACTAGAACTTGCAGTAGCGTACTCTTTGTGGGGCTCCAGCTCTCGTTCCGCTCGTCGGTGTGCCATGTGCCGAGTAGACTCAGACAGATCTTGCCGTCCTCGTATAGGTTTGGGTTGACAGGTCCGTTGCCGTTTGTCCAGCTGTGGAAGAAAGCTGATGGTGCTTCTTGTGGGTATGCCGATCCGAGGTGGAAGTCGATAACGAAAGGCGCGTACTCGTAAGGTGTGTCGTTGGGGCCGATCATGAGGACGCGGAGGAGATCTAATCGAGACTCCCATGTGCGGACGAAGATGCCTGGTGGAAGTGAGCTTCGGAGGATCTTGTGCTCTTTTGCTATCCGGCGCATGAAAGCTGACGATGAAGCTGATGATTGAGAAATGTAGTGGTGGGATGCCGGTGGGGCTTCTTCGAGGATGAGGAAAGAAGCTGGCCCCTCTGTCGGCTGTCCCGTATGATCATCCAGCGCTATACCGCCGTCTTCGTCGGGTTGCTCTTCGGGAGTCGTCTTCGATGTGTCGACTTCTTTCGTGATGTCGACAAGATCGGGCATCGATGTATCCGTGTTGCCATCATCATCTTCTTCTTCGTCCTCATCCTCTGTCGACCAGTCTCCTTCGTCGCCAACGGGCTGTTCACCATCCATTCCCTCATACTCAATCCACATCTCGTTGAATGACGCCGTGTCGAAATCGCTCTCATCACTCTCGTCAGAGTCATCGATGTATTCACCTTCTAGCGGATCCATGTTGCCGAAATCATCAGCCATGTCGCTGCTGTACGCAAGAGTGACGCGTTCGTAGGGAACCTTGACATCCACGACAGGCTTTGCTGCGCCAAGGCGGACGGTGAGTTTTCCGTCCAGACCCAGGTCAATAACCTCTCCAAACCAGTCGGGGCCAGTGACATTGAGTGGTGTCTGTACGCCTTCGATTGAGTCTGGGTGGACTAGGACGAAGTCGCCGCGCCTTCGTGTTAGTGCTGGGAAAGAGTAAATGTCGTAAAGACTGACGTCTTCAACGGTGTCGTGTAATTCTCCTGTACTTGACGGAGGAAGTAGATCTGGACCGAAGAACTCGATGGAAGGATTCTTGAACCATCGCACAGTGGCTATCCGATCTCGGCCCTTGACTGTCTGGACTACACCCACTTTCGAAGGTTTCTTTGTCGCAGAGTCATCAGCATTGTCACCCTCGCGGTTCTCTTTGGAGAAAACCACTTCACCAGGCCAGACCTCGTCGTCATCTTCTACATTGGGATCTGGCAGTAGAGAAGAGCTGAGGTCGTGTGTTATGGACAGGTCTTGCCATTGAACGGTGACCCGACTGTGAGTCTGCATCACTAAGAAGACATTGAGATCGTATCCCAGGCTTTCCGTCCGCGCAATACGTGTCACCTTCCCTTGTGGATATCCGTTAGGTAGTTCCCTCGTGCCGTCGTACTTTACAGCAGCGCCGGCGATGTCCTTGAACCGTACCCGATCACCCACGGCCACATCGGTAACATGGTATGACTTGTCGACACCGTTTTCGGAGACGGGGAGTGTTGTGGCCGTACCTCCTGAGGCATCGTATCTGTAGAAGTTGGGGCTCTCGAATTCGTCTCGACCGATTGTCGCCGGAGGCTCGTCTGCATTGAAGGCGACGTTGCGCGCGCCGATGCTTCTTGCTAGCCATTGCACGTCGATCTCGGATGCTCTTGTCTCGACGACCATGCCCACAGGCGGCACGCTCGGATCGTATGCGCCGAATCTCCAGTTTCCCCGCCGCAGGTTGCCCTTCTTGGTCTTGACTGTGTCGCCTACGCTGAGCCGCTCGAGAGTGGTGTCGTCCTGTTCCAGCTCGGCCGGGTCCTCGACGACCACGACTGAGTTGTTGGCCAGCCTGATGGCGACCTCGTCGTATACGTTCTCTACCCGCCCGACCCAGTCGCCGTACACGACTAAGGCGCCCTCGACGAATTCGTGAACGTTGATGAGCTCGTCGGCCGGAATGTTCCGTATGGATAGATCGTCGGTGGTTGTCTGTGTGATTTGGCCGCCGTTGAAGAGGGTCGCGGGGAAGAGGGTGCAGACCGCCTGGGTGCCAATGACCGTACCACTAATATGATCTTCCGCCTTCCTCTTGACCACATCGCCTACGTAAAGCGCTCGATCCAGCAGTTGAAGCTTTGCTTCTGGTATGAGTTCCGTCTTGTACTGCGTCTGCCATGACACTAGGACGGTACCCCGCGGTGGGATACCGTCTTTCATGAACTTCCAAAAATCTTCCCTGGGGATATCGGTGTGGCGTTCGATGTCGTCGGGATAGTCGCGCTGTGGCCGGGGCTCGTGCGAGTCGACATCGCCAAAAGACCTCTCTATGATGCCGACGCTGTACTTGTCGTCCTTGAGCCCCACGGTATCCTCGACACAGAAGACGACATCCTGCGCGCTTTGCATTTGGCGTGCTGAAGTATGCGGTGGTGTGCTTTCTGCCACTTCTGCCGTGTTGACTGGATTTTGCGGTACTGAAAAGGTATTGGAGGCGGTGAAGAAAGGCACGAGGTGATTCGAGGGTAGCGTTCGCGGCGAAATCGGTCGTGTCGGTGCAGCTTCGTCGTCGGCGGTCGAGAGGTCTGTGAGAAAACGATTCTGGAACAGCTCAGCAAGGAAACGCTCGACTGCGTTAGGTTGCTGTGGTCTATTTGCGTCGTCGTCCGGGCTATTGGGGTTGTCTGTGTGGGAGTGGCCGCGATCCATGAGTCCTGCGGTTCCAATGTTGCGGTAGCGGCCGCATGTGAAGTGCAAAGGGCGCTAACGCGGCAGGGGTCAGCCTCGTGGCACCTCCGCCCGCAGCTCGACACCTGGGCAGCCACCCCACGCACCCCTCGAGACGCAATTCAACAGCTGCACGCGTCATTGGAGCAGTGAAACGCGACAACATGGCGGATCCTCTCTACGAACTACTGATACCCTACTTCGACGCCCAAGACGCGCAGCTACGGCCCTCCCCCAATGACGCCGTTACCAACACGTACCTCTCCCGCCTCACGACCCTGCCCCTAGCTGCCCTCACATCCTCCGAGCAACAATCGCTATCACAAAGCTCGCAGTCCATACTACGATCACTGCAAGCGCTCTCGAAGCGGTCGCATAAACCCATAATATCCTCGACCGACCACCTCCTACACCTCCGCAAGACACTCCCGCAGATAGGTCAGGATGCAGGCACAGTACAGGCGGAGCTGCCGAATCTGGAAACAGCTGTGCAGAACTTCTCCGAGAAATACAGCAGAGGGGCAGATAATGCGATCCTAGACAGAAGGAGAAAGGCGATGTTGCTGTCCCGAAACATTGACCGCGTATCTGATGTGCTCGACCTGCCCACCCTTCTCTCATCCGCCATCAGCTCTTCCACAGCCGCCGCCCAAGCCTCCTCGTCAACGGCCACCGCCA